CAGGAGAGTAAGGAAGGCAGCAGAAGACTGGATAAAGGAACACTGGTCCACACACGATGGAATGCTAAGCATCACTAAAGAAGAATGAAATTACAAAGCATCTCATGGCATCAATGGATCTTTACACCGGGTGAAAGTAGCCAATCACAAAAGGACAAATATTGTGGGAACCCACTGTTATAAAGAAGAGAATCAAGACAAAGATTTCATACGAAAGCACACAGACTTTGATAGTTACCAAGTGGGAGAGGGTATGGGAGGGAAGATGGAGCAGTCGGCTAGAGAGTACACAGCTGTTATCATGGGGGAAGGGGAAGATAGTTTTCCACAAGAAGGAAAAGAGTAAACAAATGAAGGGAGTAGGGCAAGCTATTGGGAGGGGGGTTTAATGAAACTAGTTTTAAGTTGTTGAATACAAAATGGATTATCTGAAATATAAATCCCACCAAATATATGATAAAAAATCAATAAAAGAAGATGGAAGGAATACATGATGGAAAATCAATACAAGAACATGGAAGGAATACATAGTCAATGTCCCAAGAACTGGCTGACATCCAATGATGCTCGAAAACCAAGGGTGCCGAGGGAAGAAAGAAGTCCAAGCCATACTGAAAGCATTAGCGAAAAGCAAAGCCCCAGGACTCGACAGAATATCAATAGTTTCAACAAGATGATGAACACTCACTTCTGGTCAGGAGGACATTTACAGTATCTGGCCAACTGACTGGAAGAGAATCATATTTGTACCCGCTCCAAGAAAGATCACCTAAGAGAATGGGGAAGTTACCAAATAATATTGTTAATATCACAAGCAAGTAAAGTTCTGCTGAAGATCATTCAACAAAGGTTGCAGTATTGCATAGACAGGAAACTGCCAGAAATTCAAGCCAAGTTCAGAAGAGGACATGGAAGGAAGGATATCATTGCTGACATCACATGGATCTTGGCTCAAAGCAGAAAATACCAGAAAGATGTTTACTTGCGTTTTGCTCACTGCACAAAAGCACCCAGCTGTGTGGATCATAACAAGCTGTGTATAGAATTGAGAAGACTGGGAATTCCAGAACACTTCACTGTGCTCATGCAGAACTTGCACACGGACCAAGGAGGGGTCTTCTGAACCGAAGGAGAATACTGAGTGTTTACAATCAGGAAAGGTGTGTACCAGAGTTGTATCTTTTCACCAAACTTTCAATCTATGCGCTGACCACATAATACAAGAAGCTGGACTACATGAAGACTGCAGCATCGAGAGTCGGGAAAGGCTTCTCAAGTAGAAGGAAAATGCTTTGAAAACGATGATGGCAACATGTGTACAAATGTGCTTGAGACATGGATGGATGGATGGATTGTGATAAGAGTTGTAGGAGCCCTCAATAAAATGATGTTTTTTTAAAGAGTAAAGAAAGACTTATTAGCAACTAATGATATACAGATGACACAACGCTATTTGCTGAAAATGAGGAGGACTTGGAGCCCTTGCTGATGAAGATCAAGGACTGCAGCCTGCAGTATGCGTTGCAACTCAATGTAAAGGAAACAAAATTTCTCACAGTTGAACCAATAGATGACATCATGATAAAGGGAGAGAAGGTTGAAGTTGTCATGAATTCCATCTTGCTGGGATCCACAATCAAGGCCCAGCAGTCAAGAGGTCACATGACATTGCTTTGGGCAAATTGCTGCACGAGATCCCTTTAAAGTGCTGAAGAGCAAGGATGTCGCTGGGAGGACTGAGGTGCTCCCGACCCCAGTCATGGTATTAGCAATCGCCTCATATGCACGTGGAAGTTGGGCATTGAATAAGCAAGACCGAAGAAGAATTGGTGTAATGGAACGATGGTTGGTGCTGGTGACGAACATTGAAAGTATCATGGACTGCCAAAAGAACAAACAGATGTCTCTTGGAAGACCCGCCAGAATTCTTCTTGAAACAAGGCTGGTGAAACTTCATCTCACATACTTTGGACCTGTTATCAGGATAGCCCAGTCCCTGGAGAAAGGACATCATGTCTGGGAAAGTGGAAGGGTATGGAAAAAGAGGATTGGCACAGTGGCTGCACCAGTGGACTGAAACACAATCACTGTGAGGACGACGCAGGACCGGGCAGTGTTTCCTGCTGTTGTGCATAGGGTTGCTATGAGCCAGAACACAATCGACAGCACTTATCAGCAACACCCAAACCCACGGCCATTGATTCAGTTCCAACTCACAGCGTTCCTATAAAGCAGCAGTTCTCAACCTGTGGGTAGCGACCCCTTTGGGGGTCGAATGACCCTTTCACAGGAGTTGCCCGATTTATAACAGTAGCAAAATTACAGTTATAAAATAGTAATGAAAATAATTTTATGGGTGGGGGTCACCACATCATGAGGAACTGTATGAAAGGGTGGTGGCATTAGGAAGGTTGAGAACCACTGCTATAAAGGGTTTCTGATGCTATACATCTTTAGGGGAACAGAAAGCCTCATTGGTTTCTCCTGAGGAATGGTGGATTCAAGCCCAATGTGTAACCAGGGCTACAAGCATTTATTTATAGACCCAGGGTAAGAATTTCAACACACATTGAGGATAGGGGACAATGCAATCCATAGCACCTCCTCATACTCTCACGTTGTCAGTTCTTTCTGGCTTTGTTCAACCTCTGGAATAAGAGCAAGACCTGCCAGCCCCTGTCAAAGGGCTCCTAGCCACACTCACAGACAGATAAACACAGACGGGCGCAGAGACACACAGACGTAATTCATTCACAGCCACACAGACGTTCCAGGAGACACACTCACACAGAGACTCACAGGCACCCTCAAACACATCACACTGACACACTAACAGAGGTCCGCACTCACACAGACCCACACCTAATGGACAGCTGAGGGGACCTCTTGCCAGGTCCCCCCATCCAGAATTGCCTGGTGTGGCATCCGCCATCCCACCTCATTGCAGGAGCCCTCTGGAGCAGTGGCTCTGGTGACATTGAGGAAGGTGACACTTTTCCTGGGGAACCTTTGGGATTTGCATACAGGCAGAGGGAGAGCCTTCCAGGGAGGGAAATTCAAGAGAGCAAATGCTACAGGGTCAACTGTGGTGCTCAATAGATGTGGAGCCTTGGCTGAAGGGGGAGGGAAGGCAGGAGGCTGGCCTCCCTGGCACAGAGATTCAAACTGGCCAGAATTCATTACACATACACACACACACACACACACACACACACACACACACAGCCACGCTTCTAGGCCGGGGGCACTGTGGGGACACAGTGAGCAGAGGAAGGAAAAGCAGGAGCAGGGGAGGTCAGATGCCTCAGGACAAGCTCCATGAGTTGGGGGCGGGAGTGTCTGTGGGAGTTACATAATCTGGTGTCAACTTGAGACTATTACAAGTGAGGCGATGGAGTTTAGCCTGTCAATCAGGTTGCAGCTTGATAACCTCATGTGGAGATAAATAGCTCACTGGAGGTCAGACCAGCACTTTCTTTCTGCTACACATTGCTGTTGACAAGCCACATGGAGCTACGCTGATGGAGCCAGAGCCCTGGAGCTGGAGGAACCACCTAGAGACCCATGGCAGCACTGAGATGCTTCCAACGCCACTGGATCCACTTGATTTCCCATCCACTGGCCTGTGATCTTCCTGCATTCATTGCATGTGGTGCATGAGTGTGTGAAGAGGAATTTATAGACTGGTATCAGACATATGGGCTAATATTGGACTTATGGACTTGATCTGCACTGGGCTGGGATGTTTCTTAATATACAAGTGCTCTTTGATATAAAGCTCTCTCTTATATACATAGGAATGTCCTGGATTTGTTTCTCTAGTCAACCCAGACTAACTAACATAAGGTCCTTCATCTCCAAGCCCACAATCCTCCTGGTTGGAGGCCACTGGCCAGCATTTCCAAGAAGGCCCGGATTAGGACAGGGTGGGGCTGGGAGCCCTGGAGGGGCTCCTTCCATACAGGCAGGAAGGGCTCAGAATGATCCCCTTTCAGGAAGACGTGCTCCAGCCTGAGGAGCCTGCCCTCCTTTGGCCCAAACATCCCAGTTCTGCCCATTCTGGGGGAAAACCTAGAAGGCAAGCGGCAGGGGCAGGGACTGAGACGGGGAGGGTCTGAGCCAACTGACCTTCCCTCCCCAGGCGAGGCCTTGGGCCCCGGCCAACGCCCAAGGTGGGCCCGTTGAGGGGGGCGGCCGTGGGGGAGCCCCCTCCGCAGCTGGACCGCGGGAGGCCGCCGAGGGGTCTGGCATTCCTCTTCCCTCCACCTTCCCT